GTGCCTACCAAGGAGCGAAGCTCCTATCACTCAGCTGCTATAGTTTCAACCGAAAGTTAATTATTTCATTAAGGGCTGCATTTTGAGTTACATTCAAAAATTGTAATTTATTTCTCGTCTCTCCCGTGCGATCACCACATTCTTTTTGATTCGACAACTTTAATTAATCGTTAGAACTACGTAGCATCGAAAGAAAATTATGACAATTAGTTGCTTCGAGTGCCAACGGAGGCAACCTTCTGCATGTTGATGGTTGGGTGGAAGGCCCGTCAACACAACAGAGTTAGGTTATGGGCTCGATGTCTATTACGAGCCATTGCATGTTTCGACCTTAATTAGTCATCATCAGGTGGTTCTCTTTTAGTATTCGAAAGTAGTAAGATAGAAATGATAAGTTGAAAAGACATTTGACTCAGATAACGTTTTTATAAATCCGTGCGATTGTTTTACGAATATTCGTAAGAGGTGAGTGGCTGAATTCACAGGACATTTGACCTAGAATAGAAACATTTTTCCTCTCGGGTTAAACGCATGGTATAATGGAAGAAGGAATATGACTGCTTCGTAAGATTACGTTTAAAATATTTGAATGTTCAAGCTGTCTATTAATTTGAAGCCTCTGGGGTAATTTACTCTTGGATGTGGAACGAAGTTTTCTTGCTGCAATTTCGGTTATCTGTTGTCCCTATGTGGTCAATCAGCTGAAGATTATCATGCTAAGTGTTCATCGTCGGAGATGCGTGAAATTATTAGAGCAGCTAAGACACGCTTCTTATGGCAATAGGATCTTTGGTTAAGTTGAACGCTGCGTCAGAAGACGTGATTTATCAGTTGGATGATTTTCCTATTCGAGCTGAGTGGACGTTTGAATGCAGTTAACGGTGGAATGCCGTAGTTGGACTGAAACGCTAAATGGATCTTAATGAAAGCTGAGACTACAATAAAAGATTGTAGCGCCGACGGACTGTCAAACTTAAAGACGATGAATAAAAGACGATTATTAACTCCAACCACATTTCTGCATAAAAGGACGAATCGAATATTTGTTTTGCACATACACACGCGTATGGAAGCGTGTTACCAGCGGCATTAAACAGGAAGTTATTGTAACCATGGCAACTAAGGGAATCTGGGAATTTCTTACGCAGGAAAATTTGCGCGGAATAAGGAATTCAAAACATTGTGTAGTTTTACACGTTGTTATTGCAAGATTTTAACCAGAATCGGAATGTGTCAACAGATTCCGTTAAAGCTCATCAGCATTAAATCTAATGAACATCCGTTTAGACGTTCTCGAGCTGGAACTGTGGACAGACAGACGGGTTTACACGTGACGAAGAAAAAGGCTTACAATTTGCATTAATTAGTTAAGAACACGTGTAAATATGGAATTGAAAATGCGGGTTTCACTTCCCATAAACATCCACGATTTCAGGGGCATACTGACCTTCTCAACGAAATACTTTTCGTCAAGTCGTCCCAGTCTGACGCCCATCAAAAGACCCGCGATTTGACCTTTCCTGTTGTCCGGGTCGTGGTTGATCCACCGGAGAATGCACTCCCACACAACGCTCTCGTCCTTCACGTTCAGTTCCTCGGCCTCGATTATCGCTTGCAGCTCCTCTACAGGCAATTCCAGCAGTTCTTCGCTCTGCTGAGACACTTTCACGAAGTGGCGCAGAACGAAGCGATGAGCACGAGTCAAGAGGTCGGCGAGGGAGAGTAACCTGCGACAGCGAGGGTAAGAGCCGACTCAGAATCGATCTCCTTCGGACTCTCACACATTGTAACACTGCAGCAAGAACTGGATTCTCAAATATTTGCACACCACAGTATTTCGCCTCCAGTTTTGACCTTAGCCCTTGAAGTCCGAATGAGCGAGACTGAGAGTAGACACGTGGAGAGGCTACAACGATGGATGCTCCGTTTAACCGGGGCAAAATAGAAAGTTTTCGGCTCTGAAGGTTCCCAGGCAATGCCCGATCGTCCTCGTGATAAGATTATAGGTTGAAACAAGGGCACGGCGTACGCAAGCGAAGAAGGCAGTGAGATGAGGAGTGTA